TACAAGTTTGTAACCCAGGCCCCACGGGTTGGAATCAACATCGTCCCTTAATTTATCCCAGCAACTGCGTTTACTCCGATTGATGGCTCGACGAAGATACCTCCTAGCCACTCTATAAGCATCCGACTTACGCCGTCTGTCTAGGGGTTCTCTAGCCCTGGTAGCAAGTCTTCTGGCCCTCAATGCTGATCGACGCAATTCCGCAATCTCGGCAGTCCACCAGTACACAGGACGCTTATTGCACCGGTATCTCCTGCGAGGCATAGACTCATCGCAGGCCGAGACAATCAGTTTCATCGTGGATGCAATTCTGCGTGAGGCACGCCAGTTGCAGGATGAACCACCGGCGTTCTTCGTAGGATGGCTCCATTGAATTTTGCCACGTCCAGTTTTTTTAATGTTCCATCGAACGGGCACTTGACGAAACGCTGCCACTTGTCTCTGATGACCATCCAGGACGTCAAAAATTATGTACTGGTGGTCACTGGCCGTGTAATCCTCCAGGACTCTCCAGGATCTGATCCTTGGCAAAAGAGACTCAGATGCAAGGGTTATGTCTGGGATCGTTCCCCGCATCCCAGGGCGCCGGAAAGTTGGCGTGTTGCCCTCGTTGACGACAACGAGTCCGGCTCTAATTTGCCAGTAACTAATTCTTTTGTATTTTTAATTGATTTTCTTTTCTTGTAAATTTAACGTTGTAAATTAATTTATCTTATTATTGTTGATTTTTGCCTTTTCAAAGTTTTCTTTTGCTGTTGTTTCACCTTGTAACTTGTTGTTCTTTTAAATTTAAATTTTGTTCATTACACGTTGAGTAACACCCTGAAGCAGTCTTATGTCTCATTAACCTAACACCTCTTCACTAAGCTAAGCGAGTGAAACATTTTAGGAAACTTAAATTTAAAGTGAGGCATGGGACCTATTGCCAAATCTATACGCCCAGACAGGAAACAGACGGAGGCTAAAGCCAATAAAATCAAAGGGTAGCTGTCCAGGTGGGTTATTCGTGGCAAAGACGTCAGGATAAGCAGCTGCCATATTGAAGGCTGAGCCTTGGTAGTTGGTTGTGCTAACGCAACCACAAAGGGTTGGCTGGTCAAGCAAGTTCAGGAGCTGAGTCCCTTCAGGGAAATCTCGCTCTAAATAGACAGATATAGATATTTTTGGAAACTTGCTGAAAACATCTTCTCAGAACACATGTTGAAATCTGTAGTTTTATGACCTACAAATGGTTATTGCTACGTGTATGATCAACAACGCTAAAATGCATAACATACCTGATTAATAGAAAATACATTTCATGTAATACAAAGTAATTATGCACCTACTGATAGTATTGCTGCATTTGATAACTATTACATTGGGGTTTTAAATTCCTTAAATGTTAGTGGTTTGCTCCAATAAAGTTAGTATTGAAACACCATTGATCTATTAATTAAATATTTGAATACTTCACAATCATTCGTTTGTACAAGATTGCGAGTTAAAGCTATGCACAATAGTTTTTTTGCATCAAAATTAGAATGATATCGAAGTTTTATCCTGGACTGTTTGCAGTGAACTAATTTTTATAATTTTGGCTTATTCTGGTATTTACTGTTCAATTATTAAATTTATTACAAAAGAAACTCATAATTTTCAATCGCTTAAATCTATATATAGTTGTTCCCGCCGGGACTACAGAAAATAGGGGGTCCCAGGTGGCACTGGTCTATTAGGGAAAAAGACGGCGTGGGGCATGTTTTTCTATTATTAAAATATGATATTTTATATTATTAATCAATTTTAAATCTCAATGAATCTTATACCATTAGAAAGATGAGATTTTGAGAGGATTCATTTTCATATATACAACAGTATTCAGCGAGTATTATGTAGCGAGAAACATCTATAAGTATAAAAGAGGATGTTTGTATATATATATATATATATTTGTTTGTTTGGCAGTGATAAACTCAGACACCGCTGAACCGATTGCCACGAAACTTGGTACATACGTGTAGAATTTCATGGAATAGGTTTATACACCATCAATTTCGTGATCCGTCCAATCGGCTTCGCCCCAGTGGCTTTGGAGTTTCCCATGTTAACCTTATGAGAAATGGAATTAATGAATCTTAACAGCTGTTTCAACTAAACAAGATGGTTCTGTTCTATGACGTTAAATAGCATTAAAGTTACAAGGATTACCAACAGGGTGCAGCACTATTATTTCTTTTACATTTCTGACAACAGCTAATTTGCAACCAAAATGTGAGTGAGCGTAGCGAACGAGCTAACCTGAAGGCAAGTGAGCGTAGCGAACGAGCTAACCTGAAGGCAAGTGAGCGCAGCGAACGAGCTCCAACCTAAAGGTGAGTGAGCGTAGCGAACGAGCTCCAACCCAAAGGTGAGTGAGCGTAGCGAACGAACTTCAACCAGGACGTGATTGAGCCATGCGAACGAGATCATCTTGAAAATTAAGACGTTAAACGGGGCAAAGCCCGCGGGTTACAGCTAGTAGTTTATAAAAGTAGAAGTTCAAATTATATTTTGCCGACGGAAAGTTTCCATCACCTGACCACCAAAACAGCTGTTTTTGGTGATCAACAATTAATTGAGTACAATATCTATTATATTATTAAAGTGATACAATCAAATTTTATGTAAATGGTTAAGGCCATTTACCAAATAAAAATATAGGCATATGGCACATCAAAATGAAGGTTAGAGTGTGTAGATTTGCCGAAAAGTATTGATATGGATGAATTTCCTAAGGGCTCTGCCCCACAGGCTGATTTCCAAAGGGCTACGCCTGGCATGCTTCTAAAGTTTAGATGATTTAATTTAGTTTAATTAATGAAACAGCTGATCAGTACAATGAAGTGGTGTTTGTTTATTTACTCGAAAAAGATGTTTGTGGCGCTTTATCTAGATTGAGGAGGGTTATGTTTGGTTTTAAAGAAAGGTTGTATACGTTTTGTAAAGTATTGCTCAATGTTTCATTTTGTAATTTATATAGTAAGCTTCATGTAAAGAGGCTTGACTAAAATTGAAGAATTATGGTAAAAAAAACATGTCATTCATGAAACATCAATATGAAGCAATCGATGCTATTGCTACACTAAGGTATGTTGTCATATTCTTTTGAATCCATTAACATTAAAAGTAGGGGTTTGAAAGTAAGTAGGTTTACACTTTTATTAAATCAGTTTATATTCTCATACTAAATCATAGAGTTGTTGTATTTTAAAACACACATCAGCACCACTTAAATAGCTCTCTGGGTCACATTTTCTTCCCGTTGCAACGCACGGGTATAGCAGCTTGTTATTACATATTCTAAAACTTTAATAAATTCCCTATAGTTTGAATATCTTCAGATTTGAGGTTGGTTGTAAACATATTTTACGCCATACTACACTGTTTTAATGAACTTCCCACGCAAGGATTTAGTCCAGAAACAGCTGTTTGCAGCCAGCTTAATCAAATGGGATTTCATTACGTACTACTGTACTGTAATGAGTTTTTACCAGACACTATAACCAGCTGATTATTAGCAATGAGTGGTTATAAACAAAAAATAACCTCTGTAGGCCCATTGTCCCTGAAGCGACTCTTGCGATAGTAGCTCAGCGATAGTAGCTAACCATGTCATTGTCCCCGAAGCGATTGTTCTAGAGCGATTTTGTTCATTAGTTTGCTGACTTTTGAGTGAATTGGGGCCATGAGTGCCATGACACCATTCTAAATATAAAATAATCAGTTCAAAAGAAAGATAAAACATATGATTACAGATAATAAGGGTTTGATTATGTAGTAACAGGCCATATAAAATAGATTTAACATATCTACACATTAAAGACTAAAAAACAGAAAATAATTATAAATAAAAATAATTTTAAAAAATACCACGTTTTTAAACGCACTAAAAAGTAAAAATAATTTATAAATATGTGGAGAGAATAAATAATTGTAAGATTTTAAACAAAAAACGTGGGGCCCATGCAATAGATAATAATAGTTCAATAGGTGAAGATAATTGTAAATTAGCTTTTTAATTAATATTAGTAGTTTAGCTAAATTAGTTTTTTTTTTTTAATCTTCAAGTATTTATTCAATACTTATTCTGTATTTTTATAGTGCGTTTAAATAAAGTATTTTTATTTATAATTTATGATAGTAGTAATTTAATATATGTAGGCCTACATATCTGATATTCCCACGTCTGATGCTATCACGACTCATATATTATCTTTAGCATGCTGATCTTTATACATACAGGCTGTTCTTCAAGCCGTAAATGGCAGAATGACGTGCTATTGCTTCTAACAGCTTTTTATCTTCTTCAGGGGTAAAAAGCAGTTTTGTATTCTTTGAAGACATTACAACCAAAACAAGTCTACACACAACACAAATCGCTCAGCGACTGCGACACTGACTCCCCTCAGAGCAGACCCGTTACAGTCGCTGTGTTCAGCCGCTAGCCGCTCCAGTCGCAGTCGTGTCAAGGACAATGGTCCCATTTGAAACAACGCTAACCCGTGCTCAGCTACTATCGCTAAGCTAATATCGCCATTGACTATACACCTCTACAGTAGATGTGTATAGTCAATGCTATCGCTCAGCTACTATCGCAAGAGTCGCTTCAGGGACAATGCACCTTTAGAGGTGATTAGAGTAGTGATTGTAGTCATCAGTCGGTAGGAATATATAAGGATTTATACAGATTTGTTATTTCTCTATGATCAAGGGCAGCTGGGAGCTGGATCCAGTTTCTTATGACCAAAAAAAAGTACCAAACGGCAGTATCAAACAGGCAACCTACCGATCACTGGGCAAGCACTATGACTACAGTATATCCATTCTGGTTCCTAGTCAGAGGTGTGCGAGTAGCCAGGGCATGGGATACCCCATTTATAATAACCCCTCTGTCTACTAAAGGTAGGCCTACCTTATAAAGAAACACTAAATCAAATCCACAATGAAGTTAATCATTTCAATGCCAATGCTTTGTTTAGGAGCCAGAGCGAGATTGTTTGCTTGGTCCAGTTCCTGATCCATGTGAATGCTGCAGTCATGGAGTCTGTGGACTGGATGAAGGACATCCCTGTTATAACGCTTCCGTATACAAAGATCAGCCAGACAAGAGAAGACTTGGTGCTTGCGCCCCAAATATGTTGTGCATTCCTAGGGATGATTTGGGACCAGTAAGTATGAATTTGAAACTAATGGACTTTGAAGTGGTAAACTTATTGATTATTTCTACTATATTCGTATACAAAATTGTATATGTCTATTCAATAATCATTGTTGCCGTAATGGATTTTGAAATAATCAGTAAATCATTATCGTGAGAATTTTTCTACTTGGAAGAAGCTATTACCAAGGTACTCATTCTCCACAACCACTGTCTTAAGGGTCTCCAGAAGAAAAAGATATGTGATATTACAATCCAATATTTATGTGAACACATGTGTTCGTCTACAAGATGTATCTCTGAAGTAATCTTCGGATCTTTATGGTATTACTATTATTAAATCATGGTCATTCCGTGCCGTATTTGGCAATAGCTTCTTCCCTATAGGGGAATTTGCTTAAACATATATTAAGTAAACTATTGATTGGTTAAGTTAAGCTGAAATAAACAAAACAGAATACAGTAATAGAATACAAACAGGATCCAGCTGATGATACAGTTAATAACGCTTGTTATTGTTTTTTGCTCTCCCTATTTTCACGTTTTAAAATAATTTTGATTTTCCTTTGAAGTGTTTCTTTTCTATTTTTAGTTACTTTTTGTGTTTTTTCGGGCTTTCAATAAATTTCATATAAGTTGTAATGGTCAAATTTTATTAGGGGGGCTCGTTTTAATTATTTAAAGGCCGCGAAGGCTTGAGCCTTGAGCGCGCTTGACAACAATGTCAGACATGTCCACTGCAGGTCAAGTCTCCTAGTTCGTGACTTGACCGCCGCGACCTCGGGGCGCTGACGTAGTCGTGGTGGGGAGCAGCCGAGACGCCGGACAGTGGACATTTCTTGGGGCAGTCGAGGGCGAGCGCTTGTTGTTGTTCGCCGAACACCCTCCCAAGATCGTACAGCGGACCTGAGAGCATACATAGGTCGTGGATTCGACCCGCAACGTGTGAGACAAAATAGATAAATGCGACAATAATATAAATCGAGATAATTAGAGGCAAACGTAAGTACTGCATTATACCATTACATTATTCGTCTTATTTTCCCGTTCACTTTGGCGAGTAAAAGTTAATATTATTTACGATCATCTTAGTTGTAAGAGATTAGCGTATTGTATTTCTCAGGCCGGCACTGCGAGTGTGGTGCCGCAGTAGCCTACACTTTTTAGTTTATTTATCGAAAGTGGTTTTATTTTATTTTATCTAAAAGTATTTTTATTTAGTTATATTTCGAAGCCAAGAAGTTCATTGGCATATTAGCGCTGACTCATTTCATTTCGTTATTTTATTATTGCGTGTGACGACATTTTATTTCACTGCGAGAGTTTTATTTTTAGTTTTTATTCGAGAAGCGATACCTTTTGTTAGGCCTAGAAGCTGGTCACGTATTTTCGTTCTCCTAGAAGCATCGTATTTAGTGCCGATATATTCCTGGTCAGTGTGTCGTTGTGCTGACATACAACCATGGTATCGGGTGCGTGTAGGACGACGAAGAAAACGTATACGAAGATCGAGAAGCGATTAGCAAGCGACGGAGACTCAGCTAGAACCCTGGACTACTCCTGAGCTGTCCGAGCAAATCGGAGGTAAGTTTAGGATAGGTGCCCTACCCGACATAAACACCTCACAAAGTTAACACATTAAAAGAACGGGACGAACTCTGTCTTGAAACCACCGATCCTAACCTATCATGAAGACCATAACTACACGTCAGCAAGTCAAAATATCACTACTGTCAACAATGATAAGTATCATATTTTAGACGACTCATCCAGTTCAGCACCACCGAACAAAATGTTCCTCACAAATTCATCCCACCAATTAGAAGTTAACACAATGGAGCTATAAAACGACCAAGAAGGTAAATCAAGTGAATTTGAACCAGTATCCAATAGGAAATCTAAATCATCCTCTTCCTACTTCCAACCATCTACGAAGCGCTACAAAACAAGACTTACAAAATAGATTTAGTCCTTTATAGCTTCCACTACCGATAATAACGAAACTGACGAATCTCCTAACTTTTCTGATAAATCTCCCATTCCACCCATTTTTCTTCATGACTCGAACAATTATCAAGCTTTGATCACAGATCTTGATCAAGTCTTAACGCAAAATTATTATACCGTAAACAAAGGTATTACCATCAAAATAAATGTGTCTTCATCAGATGACTTCCGTGCACTAACAGCACATTTTCACAATTTAAAAGTACAAAATCAATAAATAAGGTTACCTTCGTCAATCAGCTCATAGAAGTTGTAACATTGTTACGGCCGTTTCAGCATATCCATGCTATCAGCTACTTGCTCTTGTGCGGATATGTGTAATCAACAGGCCTGTTTAGTCAAAAACCCCCGTTTATGTTTATGTATGTGTACGTCGCGTGTGACAGTTTGTGTTTTTGTATATTAACGACGCCACTAAGGCTGAACGTCTGATGATGGCATGAATATGCTGAAACGGCCGTAACAATGTTACAACTTCTATGAGCTGATTGACGAAGGTCAAGGGATTGGATCAAGGTTATTTATTGATTTAGTCACAAGATCAGCTCAGGGGCTAAAAAATATGGATTTTAATAAAAGTACAATATCACTCTTTTTGTCCTCCTGAAAACAAACGTCTCTCTGTCATAATGCGGAACGTCCCAATCTCCCTTTCTGACGAAGGAATTCACACAGAACTTAAACGAATGAATCTAACGGTTCTAGAAGTTACTAGACTATACAACAAAAATAATATCCAATACCTCTTTGTGCCATCGAACTCGAGGACTCCGACTCTCGCAATGACATTTTTGGCATTGAATTTATTTTCCATTCAAAAATTCATATTGAACTAAAAGCGAAAGTCTAAATCCATCCCTCAGTGTATTCGCTGTCAACGCTTGGACACACTAGAAACTATTGTAAACTTGATGCCCATTGCGTTAAATGTACAGGAAACCATTTATTTTCAGATTGTCCTAAAAAGAGAGAAGATCCGGTCCAGTGTGTAAACTGTAACGAGTCGCATACAGCTAATTATCGTGGTTGCCCTTACTACCTCAGCCTTAAGACACGAGCAATCAGCAAAATAAATCAACCAACAACCAATCAAACGGAAATCAGCCAGAATCAAGTTCAAAACAACTCAAGTAGTACTCATTTTCCTGCTTTGTCAACCAAAAACCGCAATTCTCCAACAAGTTCTCAAAGTGAAAACTTTGCTCCCCACTCCCCCACACAAAACTTATGCCAATGCTACAAACTGATCGAAACATAAACGTACTGAAACACAAACTCCTCATCCTGATCCTGGAAACTCAGAACACGACTCTCTTCACCCTATTTTAAAAATCACTATTATCTCTAGTTAAGCCTTACCTCCCTCAAATTAAATTGTTCATCCCTCAATTAGTATCATCTATTTTCCAGAATGGATTTTAATTTACACTCAGTGAATAACTTAAAAATACTTAATTGGAATGTGACTGGTTTAAAGGAAAACAACTAAGACTCTTAATGAGCTTTCCCAGTACTATGACGCAAATCACCTCAAGCCGAACCCTGCTAAGACCCAAGTCTGTGCCTTTCACCTAAACAATAGAGAAGCAGGCCCTGAGTTGAATTTGAGGTGGCGGGGAGACCGTCTTCAGCATTGTCCTACACCCAAATACCTTGGTCTCATACTGGACCGCACACTGGACCGCGCACTGACATTTAAGACGCATTGTATTGCGACAAGAGGTAAAGTCTCAGCGAGGAATAATATCATCAGGAAGCTCACCAGCAGATGCTGGGGTGCTAACCCTAATGTCTTCAGAACCTCAGCTTTAGCGCTCAGTGTGTCGGCTGCGAAGTACGCTGCACCAGTATGGAATGCATCGTTACATGCAAAAAAGGTTGACATTGCAGTCAATGGCATGGCTCGAATTGTAACTGGGTGTTTGAAACCAACCCCAGTACTCAAACTCTATCCTATCATAGGGATCGCCCCTCCATCAATCCGACGTGATGTCGCTGCCGACGCAAAAAGGTCTAAGCAAGAGACAGACCCTCGTCAGCCATTACACGGCCAAAAACCTGCAGAGCGACGGCTTCGGTCCAGAAAGAGTTTTTATCACGGACACGAATCCTAGATGGACCACTCTCAAGCAATCGGGTGGCAAGGTGGGAGGCCACGTTGACTAACCCTCCCATACAAGCGAGGGAGGAACTGGCTCCTGGTGGAAGTCTGCATTACTCGGTGTGGAAGACCCTAAATTGAACCAGGGTTGAGGTACCAAAATGCAAGACAAACATGCAGAAATGGGATCTGTTACCAGACGAAGAAAACATCTTGTGTGCGTGTGGTACTGTTCAGGATCCTGGCCATCTGCTGATCTGTCCACGCCTAGACCAGTCTTGCACATTAGATGATATTTTACAAGCGAATGAGAAATCCATATCGGTAGTTAATTTTTGGAAAAGCGAAGTTAGATTTTCGGACACGGAAAGTAAGTAAAGGAAAAACGTTCTTCATTTATTGTTTTTCTAGCTCAAAATAAAATTGACATCGCTTGTATCACAGAAACCCATCATATATCAACGGAAAAATTTACAATCCCAGGTTATATTGTTTACAAATCAGACAGGGATGCGCCTAGAGCGTCTGGCGGAGTTGCCATTGCGGTTAAAAGAAACATTGCTCATCACTCATTGTATCTACCTCACATGAATAACCTAGAAATTACAGCCATAAAAATAAAAATAAAAAACGATGATATTATTTTATATTCTGCTTATCATGTTCCACGGTACAAGTTTTCATAAACGTACATTGAAAACCTCTTTTCAGATAATACTCCTACTATTTTACTAGGCGATCTAAACTGTATGCATGAAGCTTGGGGATACCTGAAGACAAATCCTAACGGAAGACTACTCTTAGCCGCTACTACTGCCTACGGAGTATCAATTGTTGCCCCAAATGATCCTACTCATTACTCATTTAACCACAATGTCAGGCCAGACATTTTAGACATTGGA